CTGATAGAGACATGGAGGAAGAGGGGAAGGAGATGCAACCGAAACACCTCTCTCTACTGTAATCTTTCTTGGATCCTATACACATTTCACTGAAACCATTCAGTTGTCACTAGGTTAGTAACACCTCTCTAGCCCTACTATCCAGAACCGCTGCAGCTACCGGACTGCAGACGCCAAGTTCAAGTTCCAGAACAAGGAGAGTTCCCATCCCATCGCATGCTTCTATGAAGTTACCATCCCATCTCCCAGGGGTCGATATGATCTTAGGCTTTAAAAGGAAGTAACTTGGTTAGGCAGTAAACCTAATGCCTTAAAACTGCCTGGAAGCCAACAGGCTGGGCTCCTAAAACCCTTGCCGAGCCTGAAGAGCAAACTGCAGCAACAAAACCCCAAGCTGGAGTCCCCAGACAGCTGAGCCACTTTACTCCTAATAGCTTCCCCCCAGAGGGGTCTCCTTCTGCTGAGACCTTGCACCATCACCACAGTGCATACAAAAACAGTGCAAAGGCAGGATCTTTGGGTCTGGAAAGAGGAAGGGAGAGGAGGTTGGGGGAGGCTGAGGACGAGAGAATGATGTGGGGACTGCGGGGGAAGGGGGCAGATTATGGGTTCGGGAGAGCTACCAGGCATTGACTCCTGTTACCTGTCCCCCAAGAGGGCTTCTTTCGGCTCCAAGACGGAGGTGCCCCGGCCCGGGCCCACTTCTCAGGCATCTCCTTGGGGACCGTCATGACCCCGGTTTAAGTTGGGGAAGGCGCAGTCTGTCCTTGGCCTCAGAGGTGCCAACAGGGTGGCCCCCCGGGGAAGTGCAAGGGCTGCGGCAGCTCAGAGGAGAGCCGCGGACAGCCGGTGCGCACACTGCCCGCAGCCCAGGCCATCCTCACAGCCGCCGGCGGCGAGCGAGCGGGGACCCCTTCGTCCCCAACTCGGGCTCCGCTGCGCCACCGCCGCCGCTCCGGAGGCCCCCCGCGGAGGCCAGCCTGCGCTGACTGGTCCAGGCTTCGGTGCCCACGCCCCGGGCTCCGCCTCCGCCAGCTCCCCCCACTGCAGGGGCAGCAGCCTGCCAGCGCCGCGTAGGCGAAAGCCAGCACGCAGGCCCCGCCTCTCCGCTCCCACCCCCGGCCAATGCGGGTGAACGGACGGCCTGAGACAACCACTCTCAACTCCCACCTCCACCTCCACCCCGCCCTACCTGCAGGAAACTAGGAGGTCCCAGCATGGGAAAGTGAGGGGAGAGCAGGGACTTCCCAAACCAGAGCTGAGAAATGCAGGCTGCCCCTGACAAGATTACAGGTGTTTCCCGGTGAGGGAGCTGGTGCTCAGCACCAGCTCAGAAGATAAACTAACTAAAGGATCAAAAGGACAAACTCAGTTTCCTAGCCAGCATGTGTTAGGGTTTTGATCTCCACACATACACCTCTTTCCCAGGCCCCTTTCACTTGTCCCTTTTCCCTTGGCTCCCAAAACCGTAATGACACCTGCTTTTGATAGTCTCGAGGATCCACAGTCCTGGACTTTCTTACCTGGGGGGCGCTTTTTTGCACACAGTGCCATCTCACCCAGCAAGGTCCCAGCAATCCCATGGGAGACCCTGCAGGAAGGTGACAGAAGCCAATGGTCAGGAAGCTGAGGAGAACCCTTCAATCCCTTCATCAGATCGCTGGTGAAGATTCTCTCCTCTGGCTCTGACCCCTGCTAACTCCCACACTCTCCTCTTCCTGGCCCAATGATGTTGGAAAAGGGTACCTTAGATAACATGAGAGGGAAGTTGAGAGTTCAAAAGAGGCCAAGGCCAGCAGAGAAAGAGTTCCTATGACAAGAGGGACACAGCTCTCAAGGTAACCATCCCAGAAACAAGCATTGCTCCATCGGCCTTCCTAGTAGCAAGGTGTGGTGTCCTTGTTACTCCAGACCAAGACGGCTGTCTGTACTAGAAAGCAAGAGTCCCCCCCCCAAGGGCAGGGCGGAGGGAATACAACTCAGGAAACACCTGGCAGTATCAGGAAATGGGGTGGGCAGGCTCCACCCATCTCAAACTGCTCCTAATTCCCCCTCCCACAACCCCTAAGAGCTTCCATTACCACCTCCTCCACACAGAAGCCCAACACATTAAATGGTATGGCCTTCACTTCCTGCACAGACAGTCCCCAACCCACTTCCTCTCAATCTGGGCAGCCGCCCTTCGTGAGCCAGGAGAGAGGGGTCTTCCTGACCCTATCTGGGAGTTACACCTTCTTTCCCAGCTTCAGCCTAGACAAGTCGATATGGCACTGGATACAGAATCAGAGACCATCCATCAAAGGGCCTCTGCTTCTTTCCACCTTCTTTCCCAATGTCGTATCTTTCTCAAAAAAAAAAAAAAAAATGGGGGGAGGGGGAGAATAAAAAGTCTGACCTAGGAAGAAGCAAGCCTCTATCCTGTTTCCCAGCCTGGCCTAAAAGAAACTGCCAGAGAGAGGGTCACCTCTTCTACCTTTGGGTGGAAAGGCTTTCCACCTCCTCCTTGGTTCCCCTCTCTCCAGCCTCTGTTAGCCCCAAGAGATACTAATTGCCTGTCTGCTCGAAGTCTGTAATTACAGAGACTGGGCCCACAACCCAGTCACCCATACCAATTCTCCCTTCACTAACAGTCTCCTTCCCTGACCTAAAGTCCTCAGAGTAATAGTCCTTTTCAACCCTGACCCTCCTCAGCTGTGGCAAGCAAGGGTGCCTGGCTCAGGATGGAAAAACCTCATGCACATTTTAGAGATGCCAAGCCCTCCTCCAGGGCCCCCAGCCAGGGTCTCCACCCAGTCTAGAGCGTGAGTCATGGGAGGGTGGGGTGTGGAGGGAGAGGTTAAAGAAGAAGATGCAGGGTGGGCAAACAGCAGATTCAGTAGCTAGACCCACCCTGGGGGGAGGGGTACCAAGAAACAGGGGCCAACCCAAAGATCTGGGTCTGTGTCTATGGAAGAGTTAATGGAGAGCAAGACCCAACCCTCTAGAGCCAGGCATCTGGACACAGAGCAGCAAAGTTGTTTTACCCCGTGAGACCCTGAGGAGAGGAAAACAGGCTTGGGGGTGGGGGGGCAAGCAACAGGGCCAAGGAGAGGAGCGGGCAGTTGGGACCAGGTCTCCTTCCTGGTCTCAAATAGCTTAGGGTTTTCTAAACAGGTCAGGCCCATCAGCCACGTCGCCCGGCCCCATCACCCCACCCCAGCCCCCGCCACAGAGCCACATCTGGGATAAAAATAGCCAGCCCTGGGAAGGAGGCAATGTTCCACGAAGAACAACGCCTCCAGCGCTAGGGCTGGCCCGGGCTCCTCTCCGGGGAGGCTGCCAGCTCAAGGAGAAAGAGCCCCCAGACCCTCGGGGCTCCGCGGCCGCCAACGCCACCCCACGCCACCTTTCGGCCTCCAAGACGGGACCCAGCCCGGACCCTGCCCGGCCCTGCGCTCCCTCCACGGGGCACCTGAAGTCGGGGGCTGGGGCTCCCCGTCACCTTCACAACTCTCGGGGTGTGGGGCCCCCCACGCTTGTGCCCGGCACTCCGCACCCCCGTCCCGCTCTCCACACACCCCAGCCGGCACCCCATCCGGCGGACAGTCACGGGGACTCCCCGGCCTCAGACACCGCCCCCCGTCCCGCTCCTCTCGGCCCGGGGTGCGGCCCCCTCTCCCGGTGCGCCCGGGCCCCGCGCCCGGTCCCCGCCTCGCCCCGCCGCGCCTCGCCTCACCTCACCTCAGCGCTCGGCGCTCGGCGCCCGCCGCGGCCGCCCCGTCCGGCCCATGCCGGGGGCTGGGGCGGGGGGCGCTGGGCTCGGCTCCCCGCGGGCTCCCGCCCCCCCCAGCTGCGGCCCCGCTCCCCCCGGGGGCCTCGGCCCGCTACTTTGTGTCAGTTTCGGCCACCGCGGGGCGGAAGTGACGGCGGAGGCGGCCGAGGGCGGGGGGCGGGAGGGGCTTTGGGGAGGGCGGCGGGGCGGGCGCGCCGCCATCTTTGTGCGGGGCAAGAGAGGGGAGGCATGTGGGCGGGGGTCTTAGCCCCACCCCCGAGCTTCCGCTCCGCCACACCAGCACGCGAGCGCCCGCGACGCGACAGAACGCAGAGGTTTGGGATGCTTTAATCTGGAAGAAAGGGAAGCGGGGGCCCTGGGCGCCGCGCCGGCCTCTCCGCACCGCGAGCATCTTCTCCAACAGCCCGGGCCTCCGCCCTCCGCCCTTGGTGCCGCAGCCTCCTCTTCTCTCCCCGCCTCATTTCAGGACCTTTCCCCCTCTCCGGACCCAGATTGGCTGTGGTGCCTCAGTTTCTCCGCCGGGTCCTCCCAGCCTGCGGGCACTGGCGGGGCGGCGCTCGGCAGCCTCCCTGGGAGGGGGCAGGTGGTGGGGGGGGTTGGAGGGCTTTTGGGTTATGGAGGCGATCTGAGAGGGCCGAAGCAGGAGGCGTTGGGGTCGTAGGAGCTGAGGCCAGGCCTTGGGGACCCAGCTTGAGAGGGCCCCAAGGCCGATCTCCCACCGCCGCCATTGGATGAATTGGCCAGTGTCTCCGTCCCTCAGATTCCCACGGCCTTAGCAGACCTTCGGCCGGCGTGCGCGCCCTCTGGCGGCTGCTCTGAGCACCTGCATTCCTAGAGGTCCGGCGGGTCTGGGTGGGAGTAATCCCATCCTGCCAGCAACTCCCTTTCTCCACCTGTGCCGGCAGTGCGGTTCCAGAGGAAGGAGTGAGTAAACAGAAAGCTTTCCCCTGGGTCTCGATTTCTAATTAAGGTAAAGTAAAGAAGGTCGGGGGCTGGGAAGGTGGCTCAGTGGTAGAGTGGTTCGATGCCTCAGCCCCACCTAAACAGAAAAAGCCAGAAGTGGCGCTATGGCCCAAGTAGAAAAGCGCTAGCCTTGAGCTGAAGAGCTTGAGGGACAGCTGAGTTCATGCCCACGACCGACCAAAAAAGAAAAAGGATGAAGAATGTGTTATTTGCAAGCTGGCAGGATCGTGGTTCTCTTGACATCCTGGAGTGAATCCTGTGAGAATCACAGCTTACTCTCCATCGTCTTAGCTGAGGCAGGAGTTTCCAAATCTGAGGTTTCCTGAACTGACTCTGAGTCCTCAGGATGGTGCAGAGCCACCATCAGCTGATACGTGGCTGTGCCCAGGGTGGCCCCCACTAGAGGAGCCACTACCGGCACCCACCACCAGCCATTACCAGCACTGTAAGGGAAGAACAAAAGGAGACATCAAAGGTTGACTGCTTTAGCTTTCCCTCTCCCCAGGGACTGGGGGACAGTAATAAGAGACCTCCTTTCAAATAGTCCCTGGAATGACCAACACCAGGATATTTTCACAACAATACATTGCACTTGGAGAGAAGGGAACCCCTTCTAAGAGGAAGAAATTGATGTGCCAAAACACAACCCTCAAACCTTACTATTTCAGTGAAAAGTGGGGAGGGGAACTAGGAAGGAAGGGTGAATGTGAGGCTTGGAGAACACTGTCCGAAGAGGCCAAGAGAACTGTCTAGAAGAGAGCTCTGGTGAACAGCCATTATCAAAGAGAGGGAGTGGAAGACCACACCAGAGAAAGCTGACTCCCACCTGAAGACCTCAGGGCCCCAGCCGGCCACATAGGTGAAGAGCCGTGGGCCCAGATCCCGGGCAGGGTTGAGTGGAAACCCACAGTTGACACCCATGGATAGTCCAATGGTCAGGATCAGCAGCCCCACCACCACAGGCTCCAGACCCGCGGGTACACCCTTGTTCCGTCTGTCCAGGATTGCTAAGAGCCCCACAATCAGCATCCCAGTGCCCAGAACCTTAGAGTAGACAGAAGTCAAAAAAGGGGACCCCATCAGCTGCCTGGTAGTAATCCATCTGCCCTCCCTCACCCAAATACTTCCCACCACCCCCCCTTACTATCTGGCCTTATCCAACACAGGCAGCAGGTTTGGGGAGGGGTGTCATGTAGAACCAATTCTGAATTGTCCCACCAAACCTCAACAGTAGGCTGGAGTGTACCAAGGGAAAAGGCAAAGGTTGGGACTTTCCCACATCTTTTTTTCAGACCTACCTGATCCAGGAAGCCATTATTCAAGGATAGGTAAGGTGCAGGGTAGGTGGCAAAGATGGAGGCTGTCTCCTTCGGTCCAGTCACAGTCAAGTCCCCACCTGTATAGTTCTGTAAGGCATCTTCAGGAGAGAATACCTGATATTTCCCATCTTTGCTCAAACAAACCATTCCCAGGCACCCCTGCCCGTACATAGGTGGCTCCAGCCCTAGGCCCTCTGTTACCATAGTAGAGAACATAAGTGGCTCCTGAGGCACAGAAAGCTGCCAGCAACTGCACAACACAGTAAATTGGGAACTTGGCCCAGGGGAAGCGTCCAACGAGGCACATGGCCAGGGAGAAGGCTGGATTCAGGTGGGCCCCTTGAAGCATCAAGGAAAGAAAACCAGCCAGCATCTACTAAATATCACTGCCCAGTACTGTTACCAATCAATAGCAATACAACATACAACCCTACAACACTTTAAACAGTAATATTGCTGGACACCTGTGAGTCTAGCTTCTCAGAAGGCTAAGATCTGGGCATCAAGGTTTGAAGCCAGCCTGGGGAAGAAAGTCTGTGAGACTTATCTCCAATTAACCAGCAAAAAGCCAGAAGTAGAACTGTGGCCCAAGTAATAGAGTGCCAGCCTTGAGAGAAAATGCTGAGGGACAGTGCCTGGGCCTTAAACTAGGCGGGGGGGGGGGGAGTATTACTTTCATATACTTAAGGAATTAAGACTCAATTAAGTGAGGGGCTGGGAAGGTGGCCCAAGTGGTAGAGTGCTAGCCTTGAGCTAAAGAGCTGAGGGACAGCACCCAGGCCCAGAGTTCAGGCCCCACAAGCCACAAAAAGAAACAAAAAAATGACTTGGCAAAGTCCTACAGTGAAGTGAAGATTTGAACCTGGAGCAAGCTGCATCTCAAGGTTCTGGTCAGGCCTACCAATGCAGTGTGTATCTAAGGGACAAACAGGAGATTCTGAACAGAGTCCAGTGAACTCTAGAGGCTTCAAGGTGTAAGGCACAAAAAGATAATCGCCTAGCCTTAACACCCTGGTATGAGATTTCTGCCCAGGTGAGCTAAGGTTTATTGTAAAGAAAGGAATACAGTGATGATACTGGACAGAGAAGGAGTGGGTGAGGCCAAAGGCCTATCTCAGTCCAGGTCACTGGTCAAGCTCAGGGAGATAATGTCCATGAGTCACCAAAGGGTCTAACTTCATTATCACCAGATACATACTCTCACGTACATCTCACATTTTCAGTGACCAGACCCTGCCCTCCTTACCTGAGACATTGCCAGCCACGTAGATGGCTATTGTGACAGACAGGGAGCCACACAGAAACATAGTGAAGAAGTTGCCTTTGGTTTCTCCACTGGTGACAGCCTGAGCTACAGCACCCTGAGTGAGGAGCTTGTGGAAAGAGGGGAGATGAAGAATTAAAAGCCCAGGAGGCGAACAGTGGGAGAGAAAAGTTTCAGGAAAGAGGAGAAATGAAGAAACTTGAAAGACTAGCAAGGAAAGAAAAATGGGGAAGCTGGGCGCTGGTGGCTCACACCTGTAATACTGGCTACTCAGGAGACTGAGTTCAGCGGATCCCAGTCCAAAGCCAGCCCAAGAAGGAAAGTCTGTGACACTCGTTTTGTTTTGTTTTGTTTTTGGCAGTCACAGGGCTTGAACTCTGGGCCTAGGCACTGTCCCTAAGCTCTTCAGCTCAAGGTTAGCTGAGCCACTTCAGTTTTCTGGTGGTTAATTGGACATAAGGGTCTCCCAGCTGGGCGCTGGTGGCTCATGCCTATAATCCTAATTGAGGGTCTCCATTCAAAGCCAGCCCAGGCAGGAAAATCCCAGAGATTCTTATCTCCAATAAACCACCAGAAAACTGGAAATGGCTCTGTGGCTCAAGTGGTAGAGCCCTAGCCTTGAGCTGAAGAGCTGAGGGACAGCACCCAGGCCCAGAGTTCAAACCCCACAACCGACCAAAAAAAAAAAAGAGGACCGGGAATTTGGCTTAGTGAGAGAGTGCTTGCCTAGCATGCATGAAGCCCTGGGTTCAATTCCTCAGTACCACCTAAACAGAAAAATCTGGAAGTGGTGCTGTGGCTCCAGTGGTAGAGTGCTAGCTCTATGCAAAAGAAGCACAGGGACAGTGCCCAGGCCCTGAGTTCAAGCCCTAGAACTGGCAAAAATAATAATAATGCAAGAAGTGCAGGAGAGCCAGGCACTGGCAGCTGGATTGCACCTGTAATCCTAGCTATTCAGGAGGCTGAGATCTGAGGATCACAGTTCAAAGCCAGCTGGGGCAGAAAAGTCCATGAGACTATCTCCAATAATCCACCAGAAAACCGGAAGTGACGCCGTGGCTTAAGTGGTAAAGCACTTGCCCTGTGCTGAAGAGCTGAAAGACAGTGCCCAGGCCCAAAGTTCAAGCCCTACAACTGACCCAAAAAAAAAAAGTGGAGGAGGAAGGAAGAAAGGGAAGAAAAGTGAGAGCTAAGGAAAAGCAGGAGGAATCCAAAAGAAGAAGCAGAAGAGGAAAGTGGGGCTGAGCCCAAGTGGTAGAACCTTAGCCTTAAGCAAAGGAAGCTCATGGATAGCACCCAAGCCCTGAGTTCAAGCCCAGGACTGGCAAAAATAAAGAAAAAAAAAAGGAATGGGAAAGTGTCTTAGTGGTAGAGTGCTTGCCTAGATTGCATAAAGCCCTGGGTTCAGTACCACATAAACAGAAAAAGCCAGAAGTGGTGCTGTGGCTAAAGTTTTTCTTGAGCAAAAGAAGCTCTGGGTTCAAGCCCCAGGACTGGCAAAAAAATAAATAAATAAAAGACGAGGGAAAAGAGAAGAAGCTGAGTTGAACGGAAGGTCGAGGAGGAAGAAAGGATGGTAGGAAGCCCATCTCCCTTTATCCTCCCATCAATTCCCAGGCTTACCAATAGTACAAATACACCCAGGAACTCTGCCAGGCACTGGCGGACCAAGAGGTTGTGGATCCGAAGATGTTCCTTGATTTGAACTAGGGGCTGTGCACCTGCCATGGTAAGGACACCCTATCGCCACCGTTTACTGCTCCTTCTGTTTGCACTAGCAGCAGCTACCACACAGCTGCTATCTTCCAGAGGAGAAGATAAGGAGGAGACTTTAAAACCAATTAGTGCAACTCCAGATCAGCAGCTACTATCTGCATGTGTGGAGGCTAGACAGTGTAGCTGTCAGTGCTAGTGGAAGCCAGAACGTAGGAAGTTTACCCAGGCCCTGTCTCTTCTGTCCTTCATGTGCTTCTCCACAGGTCTAGCCTCCCTCTATACTGAGGTTTTGGGGGCAGGGTAAGTACCCTCCTTCATGTCTGCTAGTTCCCCTGGTCCTCAGACAGCTGTGCTACTGTGAATCCCACTCTCTGGAATGAAGATACTGAGCCTTAGAAATTCCTCTAAGAGGGCTGGGAATGTGGCTTAGTGGTAGAGTACTTGCCTAGCATGCATGAAGCCCTGGGTTTTTGATTCCTTAGTACCATATAAACAAAATGCTGGAAGTGGTACTGTAGCTCAAGAGGTAGCGTGCTGACCTTGAGCAAAAGAAGCTCAGGGATAGTGCCCAGGTCTTGAGTTCAAGCCCAGGGCTGGCAAAAAAAAAAAAAAAATCACGAAAAGAAAAGAAAGAAAGAGAAATTCCCCTAAGATAACACCATTAGTGGCTGACTGAATTCAAATCCAAGACTTCTGAATCCACAATGCCTCTCATCTGGGATGTAATGCCTTTCTGTAATTTTTTTTTTTTTTTTTTTTGCCAGTCCTGGGGCTTGAACTCAGCACTCTATCACTTGAGCCACAGCGCCACCTCCGCCTTTTTCTGTTTATGTGGTACTTATGCTAGACAAGTACCTCTCTATGAGACTCTTTTTTTTTTTTTTTTTTTTGGTCATGGGGCCTGAACTCTGGGGCTGAGCACTGTCCCTCAGCTCTTTAGCTCAAGGCTAGCTCTCTACCACTTGAATCACAGCACCACTTCCAGCTTTTTTTGCTTATGTGGTGCTGTACAATGGAACCCAGGGCCTCAGGCATGCAAGGCAAGTGCTCTACCACTGAGCCAACTTACCAGCCCCATTTTCTGAGTTGTTTATTGGAGACAAGAGTCTCATAGAAGGTTGGGAAGGTGGCTCAGTGGTAGAACACTTGCCTTGCACGCATGAGGCCCTGGGTTCAATTCCTCAGCACCACATAAGCAAAAAGAAAAAGCCAGAAGTGGCGCTGTGGCTCAAGTAGTAGAGTGCTAGCCTTGAGCTGAAGAGCTGAGGGGCAGCGCCCAGGCCCAGAGTTCAGGCTGGAAACCAGACCAAAAAAAAAAAAAAACTCAGAAAAAGCTGGAAATGGTGCTCTGACTCAAGTGGTAGAGTCCTAGCTTTGAGCACAAAGAAACTCAGGGACATTTCCTTTCATGCAATTGTTTCTAACACATTTATAAGATGATTTCTATGTTGCTTTGTATGTCCCTTCCCCACAGTATAACCCATACTTTCACTGTATTTGATGTTAGTATAATTTGTGGAGGGGAAGGGAAAAAAACAAATCGTTTAACTAGGGATACAGGTGGACCCATTGCAACAATGAGATGTACAAGTTGTTATGTCGAAAAATGAACTTAACAATTTGGTGGGGGGTGGGGGAGGATCGGGTGGGGGGAGGGGAGGAGTATGGGAAGGGATGGGAAGGGGAAACAACGAGGAGGCAGCAAATGCTTGATAAGAAATGTACTCGTTATCTTGCCCATGTAATTGTAACTCCTCTGTATGGTATTCTCAGAATAAAAGAATAAAATAAATATTTACATTAAAAAAAAAGAAACTCAGGGACAGTGCTCAGGCAGGGAGTTCAAGCTTCAGGTCCAGAAAAAGAAAAAAGAAAGAGAAGAAAAGGAAGGAAGGAAGGGAAAGAAAGAAAGAAAGAAAGCTACATGTGGAGCCAGGCATTGGTGGCTCACCTATAATCTCAGCTAATCAGCAGGCTGAGATCTGACAAAAGAAAGAAAGAAAGAAAGAAAGCTACATGTGGAGCCAGGCATTGGTGGCTCACCTATAATCTCAGCTAATCAGCAGGCTGAGATCTGACAAAAAGAAATAAAAGAAGGAATGGAGGGAAGGGAAGGGAAGGGGGGGAGGGAAAGAAAAGAAGGAAGGAAAGAAAGGAAGAAGAAAGCTACATGTGGAATGCATAATGTATTTCCTTCAATAGAGTGTGTCTCCTACATGATTTGAGATAAGGACATTACATTTCTGTCCTCTGTGTACCTGCCATTCTTAATCTGAATAACAGAAACAGATCCTATTTCTTGATTCTTTTTCAACTCTCCAATTCATTCCACAGTGAGTCAACCTCTGAACACTGAGGATACTGTGATACATGATACAGCCTTTGCCCTCCTAGCTTATATTCTGATAGGTGGAAACAATGTAACAACTTAAAAAAAAACTCCATGTGTAGTTTATGAGTTTCTTAAGAAACAATTAATGTAATGACAGGCTTTGGTACAGTCCTGGGCACCTCTGTGGACATTAATATTTCTTGTTATGATGAATATATAGTACTTCATCCACATCTCTCTCAGAGACAACACACCCATTCCTCAGATACTGAGAATATCAGCTGCTGATAGCACACAGCTGCCTCCCTCCCTGGGCAGCGCCTTCTGAGGCAGGAAGCAGCCTCGCCTATTACGTGCCCTGCTGTGGGTCCCCTGTACAATTGCAGGTTGGCCTCTGTCTTAATAGGGGGCAGCCCTGAAGGGCTGTTCCTGCTCCAGAGTTCTCCATAGGATCAGCTGAGGCCTTTGTTATAAATAACCACAAAATGTGTCCATTTCTCTCTATACCTAATCTTGCTTTCCTAACTTCCTTACATGTGTGTGTCACATGTTTAAAAAAAAAAGGGCTGGGAAAATGGCTCAGTGGTAGAGCGCTTGCCTTGCATGCATGCCTGAGACCCTGGGTTCGATTCCTTAGCACCACATAAGCAGAAAAAAAAAAAGCCAGAAGTGGCGCTATGGCTCAAGCGGTAGAGTGCTAACCTTGAGCTGAAATGCTGAGGGACAGCACGTAGGCCCAGAGTTCAGGCCCCACAACTGGACCCAAAAAACAAAAAAAAACTGGCTGGATCAGGCTGGGACCTGTGGAAACTAGTCTACACAGGAAAGTCCCTGAGACTTTATTTCTAATTAACCTACTAAAAGCCAGAAATGGAAGTGTGCCAACTTTGGACAAGCCAAGCAAGAATACCAAGCCAAGCTGGACACTGGTGGCTCATGCCTGTAATCCTAGCTGCTCAGGAGGCTGAGATCTGAGGATTGCAGTGCGAAGCCAGCCCAGATAGGAAAGTCCATGGGACTTTTATCTTCAACTAACCACCAGAAAACAGGAAGTGGCACTGTGGCTCAAAGTGGTAGGATACCAGCCTTCAATGAGAGAGTTCAAGCCATAGGACCAGGAAAAAAAAAAAGAACAGCAAGCCAATCCCTGATTTCAAGTGCCAGTATTGGCACTGGCGCGCGCGCGCACACACACACACACACACACACACACACATAATAGGCTATGTAGTGGCAAAGGGCAGTAATCCTCTGAATTTAACCAAACAGTAACCTCAATTGCAATTTGTGTGTCCCAAATGATAACTTTGTAAAACAGTTTAGCCTCTGACTGATAAAGTGTAGCTCTTAATCTGAAAAATGTTATTTTTGTAAGGTCTGCACAGGGACACCTTCCTACCTCTTGGCTAAGTTTCTGCCCAGTATCTGTTACCTAGGTAACTGGCACATTTCCCTGCCTGCTAGGTCACGTCTTGGGCCACCTCTGGTCACATGCCTCCCATCTGACCTTAGGAGGGTCCCAGACTGGGAGATCACGTCCGGATCTAGTGTGGCCACACCTTTCCCCCACCTGGCCATACCTCTTCCTGTCCCTGGCCTAGATAAGTCCTGGCACTGGGGTGGGTCGCCCCCTTTCCTTTTCAGCCATGCCTCTCCATCATGTATGGCAGGGCAGCAGTTCGGTGAATAAACTTCTTCTCCTGTCTGAATAGCGTGTGGTGTTCTCTTCATCGGCTACCTAATGAAACCTACTTATTTAATATACCTTACAGCTTTATAATTCCAATTGGATCAGAAAGGAGGCTCTGAAGCAGTTTGCATCCACAGGGAAAGGACAAAGCACATTTATGGGCTTGCCCCAAGATCAAGCTCCCTAGCCCTCTGTAATTATGTAATCTGAGTAGAATTCGATAAAGTAAGACTTTTTTTTTTGCACTTAGAGCTTCAGGTTTATTATACAAGTCACTCTACTCCTTGAGCCATACCATAAGCACTTCAGCTTTTAGTTTAGTTTGTTTTTGTTTCAGATAAGGCCTTGGGTTTATGCCAAGACTGCCCTTGGACCCTAAGCCTCCTATCTCTGCTTCCCAAGTAACTGGATCTATAGGCTGGCACTACCACAGCTGGCTTGTCTTTTTTTGAGATAGTCTTGGTATTTTTTTTTTACCCAGGTTGGCCTCAAACCAATATGCATGTTCTTTTTTGTTATTGCTGTTTTTTGGGGTCCGGTCGTGGAGCCTGAACTCTGGGCCTGGGCACTGTCCCTCAGCTCTTCAGCTCAAGGCTAGCACTCTACCACTTGAGCCACAGCGCCACTTCCAGCTTTTTTCTTTTTGCTTATGTGGTGCTGAGGAATCGAACCCAGGGCCTCAGGTATGCAAGGCAAGCGCCCTACCACTGAGCTACCTTCCCAGCCCCCAATATGCATGTTCTTTACTTTTATAAATATGCTCTCCAACAAACACTGGAGTCACAATGGCAGACATGAAAATAAAAAAATTGTTTCAGGCTGGGAAGGTGACTCAGTGGTAGAGTGCTTGCCCAGCATTTCTTCAGCACCACATAAACAGAAAAAGTCAAAGTGGCATTGTGGCTCAAGTGGTAGAGCACTCACCTTGAGCTGAAGAGCTGAGGAACAGCACCCAGGCCCAGGTTCAAGCCCCACGACTGGCAAAAAAAA